CCTGCTATCGACTGTCCAATATCGGTACGCATGGACCTTGAAGTGTGCTCTTCAAAAAGATCGCCCCGTCGGAGAAACTTTACCGCAACACGCTTCAAATAGCCCAAGAGAGGTTCCGACACCAGGGTACTGCAGCGATCTAGCCTTGGAGTTGAAGCACAGAATGGCAGGACTCGATGCTCTTGGTTCGCTGTGTAGACTTACACTACTCCAGGAGACGGAGGAAAAAGTATGTCGGACGCGGGCTTGTTCTTTCAATGTCTTCGCAAGTGGGAACCGCGACTCTTTTATGGTGTTGTCTTGCTCTTGTCTTGGGTGTGCTTTGAATTGGATTGCACGTGACCTCGAAAATTGTGCATTTTTCGCCGTTCAAGTTCAGGGACGAGGATGGTCTGGGCAGTGATCGTCAATCCAACAAAAACAACCAGGGTAATTTCTTACGACGTGCAGTCTAGGCCACAACATAATCGATGAGTATGCCGCTTTGTTTCTTTCCAATATGAACGCGAACCTCAATGGGCATGTTCCTGCGTATCGAGGGAGCACACATGACTCAGGTCTTTTGTTTTTGTCTGCCCAATCCTGAATACACCAACAAGGCAAAGGTATTCATTGTCTACGCATTACATACGTAGTTCGCACTATATTATTAGTCGAACTATGCCTGCGAAGTGCTCCATGATTTTGGGTAGGCACCTCAGTTGTCACTGTAGCAGTAGTTATCCTGTAGAAGGCCGGTCGCCGTGAATCCTGTAAGGCCGATCCGCGTGACGCAGATGGGGATATTAACGTGTGTGTCTCATACTCTTGAGCTCTTGACGGGTCTTCCTTTTAGGGTCAACCAAAAACCGATTGGCGCTGTGCGACCTTCCTTCTACCGTGGCCACTTCGGTAGCGAGTGTTGCCTTTCACCACCGTAACCTTGGAGTTGCCCGCATTTTTGGCGCGAACGCAACACATTCACTCGCACATTGCCACTCCCCAACAAGCGATCATTTGATGGGAAAATGTGATGTCACGTTGCCCAAAACCCGCGCAGCAAAGCACGACGAGGCCATCTACAGATAACAGATAATGTTATTTTGTCGTGGACTCGGATCCAAGGAGTACATGCTTCGCAAATACACGCATGCATCGCACGCAGAGGAACCAGTTGAGCTCTCAACAGGGTCAAACCAACATCGAATGAAAAGTTTAACTTCCACTGTCCTGCCTGGGCTGACCTCTCATCCGGTAGATGCACGCCGAGCAACGTTTTCTATAACGTGGGGTCACTTCTTGTGTTCCCACGATACGCATCCCCCATCGCCTCCCCACCAACGCCATCACGGCAGGCGGCGGTGGCTCAATACACACAAACTCTACAAATGCAACTCGTTGCGTGACTCTAGTTTGCCGAAGATAGCCAAGAACATACTGCTACGACGCTGCCCAAAGACTGCCTACAAGTCCCCCCCCACGTCCAATCACCTAGTACCAAAGAAGTAAACCTTTCGGCACAACCAAGCCGTGTGAGAGCACATATCATGCAAGTGAGCCGTCACGGGTGACAGCTCCTGACATCAAACGTCAAACAATTAAATATTTCATGTGCCCCCCTCAACCCAGAAACAAAGCGGTGCCTGTTGTGGCCCGACCTGAATATCTTCTGTAACTTTTGTTTGCTCCTGTGGAAATGGTTCCTGTGGCGTCACGCATGCATACCCGCATTGGCAAGAAACTCACCCTAGGCGTGAAACGTTTGCGAAACTTGAAAGACGTCGACTGCATTATCTCAGACGGGTAGTCTTCCTTTCATATCATGCATATTTTCTAAAACGTACCATTCAACAGACTCCAGCATGCCCACGGACCGAAACTGTGCACAACACAGCATGCGGCAAGATAAGACGATGATAGCAACAACGGTGTGACCAAAGAACACCCAACAGCAACATCGAAGCAGCACAACGCTTGGTACATCCGTCATGCACCCGACAATCCAATATAATACCTCTGCGGCAAATTTCTCGTGTTCTGTTTGCACCCCTACACCTGAGGGCGAAAAAAAACACCACACACAAAGGCGGTGCAACATCAGTTACTGTTCACGCGGCGCTCAACCGCACCACATGGAAAGGCCGCACGAAAGCCTCAAGTCCTCAGAGACGCAGCCTCTTGAGTTGAACGCTAAATATCGATGCAGAAGCTACAAGTTCAGAACGTGCTTCACAGCCCGCATGAGCGCTTCTTTCGAAGCACTCCTCGCCACCCAGTGGCCTACAAGTAGCACCAAGATGATGCTAGCCGACCACCATTACCAGCAAAGACACATTTCACCGCCTGCGTTAAGCAAGTTCGCACGGCAACCCTCACAGGACGCGGCGTAAAAACAAGAGCCAACGTAATGCTCATTTCAACCAATCGTCTGTCAGCATTGGAAGTAAAAATAATCACCAGCGTGAATCGGGCACAACAGCAATCTCAAGAACGCTGCCGCAAACGCGGGACCGAAGGTGCCATGTGGATTTTGACCAACCAGCAGTCAGCAACAGAACCAAACATGGACATGTGGACTTCGACCAATCAGCTGTCAGCAGTGGAGGTGCGCCCTGACGAGACGTTCAGAGCACTGACGGAGCTCGCTTGTTTCCTTACAGTCGTGAAAGAACACCTGTATTTGTTTTGTGTAGCAACACAGGAAGATAGCCACGGAAGTCCACGATATTAACGCGGTCCGTTTTCGGGCGAGCGTGATGCAACACGAAAGCGTAAGACCGGCAACCGGAGAACGAATCATAAGACAAGAGCAAACGTAGCAGAAGTGGAGGGAAAGGGCGGCAAGGGG